GTGCGATATGGTTCATGGGGTCACGAAGAGTCGGACATGACTTAACGACTGAACAACAACACTCTAATTAGCTTTTTTGAGACTGAAGTGGCTGGGTGCCATCATTGATTACTTAGTAGCTATATGACACAGCACAGGGCACATATCTTCTCCAATTCACTATTTGTAACCTCCACAGTTATAATTTGGGGAAGGAAAAGAAAGACTCAGGAAGACAAACCTCAAAATAAGAAGACAGACTAGATAATAGGGTGGGCCTGAGGCAGGAGAGATGCAATTCCCAACTATTATAGCCCAATTTGGCTATAGTCCAATGGTGAATATGGCTGCAGTCTTGGCCCTACTGGAGTCAATATCAACATTTCTGTGGTATTTCACTAAGCAGGACTGCAGCCCACAGCATTCACTGGCAAATTCCATGGAGCTTGTGAGAAAGACTTTCTGGTAAATCAGTAGCTTTTATTTAACATGCTGTATTGAGATATCACATTAAATAAACTGCAGTTTGTGCAATGGAGATCTCTTTTGTTTCCAATTCCCTGTTCCCCCTCACAATGCAGATAACATTATGATTTATGCCTTGAAGAGCTGCCTGGGGGGGGGGGGAAATCTTACTAATTGGGAGGAAGAATCTTGTATCACTTGCTCAAGGTTCCTAGATTTGTTAGTTAACCCCTCCCAATGCAGTCACATAGGACAATGTTCATAGTATTTGGCAGTTTCTGGTGCTTCTCAGATATTGCAGGAGAACAATTTAAAAGAAATATTTTTTTTATAGGCAATAGTTTAATTCCATGTTTAATTTCATATTTATTTTCAACCTTCTCTGATAATATGGTGGCCAGATGCCACCTGTGAGCATTTCTGAAGCCTACTTTTGCTCTGTCAAACCCATGAGCAACCTCTCTGGTTCTGCTCAGTAGAGAGCCCTTAATTAATCCAATAAAAATAACTGAAAATAGGATATGGGGTAGAGGTGAATTTATCTGTAAGTCCTAGAACCACTTGTGTACGTGTTCACAGATGGCTGCTCAATCACTAATTTATATATCCTCTCAGGATTTTGCCTAGAGAATTTAAGGATGTCGGGTTCCCTCTCTCTCCTAGCTATAACAGAAGGATGCATATTTGCCCTCTACATCCCCTGGTTAGGAATTTTACTAGGCAGTTTTCCTTTATTCCCTGATATGTGTTTAATTCGATTGGCTGTAGGTGCCCAGAAAGCTTTGGCAGCACACATGGAGTTTTTGAGTATGTATGAGTATTATCAGTGGGGCTTCTAGTACTTTATGACTATGGTGCTTCATATGGAATGTGTATTTCTGAAGATTCCATTGTACCAAATGAACCTAAACCTCCTTTTTGCAGCTGTGCATTCCTTAAGTGAAACTGGCAGCCCAGTTCCAGTCTGTTTTTTCGCTATTACCAATATGTCAGAGCTTTGCAATCTACTGAAGAGCTTGGCATATGCATGAAGCAGACTGCCTGTTGGAACCATCTGTTGCTAACTCCCATCCTGGTGTGAAATCCTACCGTTTAATATGTCTAATATTTCAAATATTTGCCTGTTGGCTGCCTTGAGACTTTTGACTGAGCAAAGACTCAAAATCTGGACAGAGATTTTGCATTCCTTACTCTTAAAAGCATTGGGAACTGCCACTTCCTGGTTTTTTTTTTTAATGCTCTTGTCAGAACAGTTATTGTTCTAACGTGGAAAAAATGAAGCAACGTGTTAGGATTTGGATATCATTTATTCTTGTGTCTGAGAAGTTTATTTGAATTATTCAAATGAAATAATTATTCCTTTCTTTATTCCTTTTGTTTTGTAAGTTTATTATATTGTATTTTTTATTTTGTTTGGTTTTACTGTACACCACCCAGAGACAGTTTGGAGTTGGGTGGTGCCTGAACTGAGGAAACTGCATGAATTATTTGTGGAATTTGATTAACGTACACAAGAGATTTTATATTGCTCACCAAATCTACATGTTATAAGGAATGCATGGTTACTGTGGAAAACAACAGGTTGTCATCAAAACGGCAAAACTTTAATATAACAGATATGGAGAAAGCGAGGTCCGACAGACACTTTTTAAAAGATGTAAGCCTATTATAGGCGTTATGGACCCTTGGCTTACATATTCCTGGCTTTTTTCTTCATGCAAGAAGCCAGATTATAAATTCTGTTTGTAGTTTCAGCGAACCACTGTTTTTCTGAGACTAGTAGTTTTCAGCTCTCAGGATGAAATGAGTGTATGCTATCAAATACTTTTCTTTTGCTTCATATATCTCTGTAACGTATGCTGCATCCATTGGTAGGTATTCTCCTGCTGGCTAGTGATATTTGGTGCAAGGGGAGGGAAAGAAAGTCTTTCTTTAAACTTGTGTTTAAAAGTAGCCTGCAGAACAGCTGACAGGCACAGGGGGATGAAGTTGAGTGGGGAAGTGGGAGGGAATTTTCCTACTATACTGTGTGATTGTCCTCCTAGCTGTTAGCTTTTCTTCAGGCTCCTTTTAAACAAGGGTTCAGAGGATCAATGAACAAGTAGTAAACCCATGTTCAAAAGCAGCCTGAATACAGATTTAGCATTATTTCCAAACAATGTCTTTAAAAGATCTTTAGATCTGTCTTTAGGAGTAGCCTGGAAAGCAGCTAACATGGCATGGGGAGGGGACGGTTGTGTGGTGACACAGAGCTTCCCAGTCTATCCCTCTTCTTATCTGCTTTTTTTTGGGGGGGGGGTGCTTTTTTATATTCATTTTCAAGGTGGTTTTTTTTTTTTTTTGGGGGGGGGGTGCTTTTTTATATTCATTTTCAAGGTGGTTTTTTTTTTTTTTTGGGGGGGGGGTGCTTTTTTATATTCATTTTCAAGGTGGTTTTTTTTTTTTTTTGGGGGGGGGGTGCTTTTTTATATTCATTTTCAAGGTGGTTTTTTTTTTTTTTTGGGGGGGGGGGGTGCTGGTTGATAGTCACTGACAAGCTGGCTCTCTTGTTCTCTTGTCATACCTCTCAGAAGTGGGAATCCTCACTGGATGGCAGTAGAATGGGGCTGTCTCTGCTAGCTTGAGGCTTTACTGGGCAAACTCCATCAGCCTGCAGATCGGCTTCAAGCTCCGCACTTGATCCACATGTGGAGTGGGGACACAGCTGTTCAGTAAAGAAGGAGAGGGTTTTCTGCTTTTCCAGGCAGCTTTCACCACCCCATGGATCAGTGGAGGGACTGATCTGTGGGGTGAGGAAGGCTGACCAATAAAACAGGAGAGCCTTTCCTGCTTTACCTGCACCAAGCAGATCAGCTGCCTTGTAGGTCCAGCCATCTGTCAAAGCTCGCTTCCTCCCTGAACTTCATTTCCTGTTAAGGTAAATGATAGTGAGTATTTTCCCACCAGCTGATGATATTTGGTAGGAGGGAAGAGAAACAAAGGTGGGGAAATCCAATCATCCTTTTCTTTAACTTCACCACACACAGTAAATAAGGAAACCACCTTCTGGGGACCTAATTACTATGGCAGGGTAGAGTTTGGCAATGGAGACAGCAAAATTTATACAGGTAGTTTTATGCTGGCTCAATGATGGGTGGAGGGCACTGAATCTTATCCATGGTAAAGAGCCATAACTCCGTCTTCCTAAACCTGGTGCTCCCCAGAGGACTTAAAATTCAATGCCCATTGGCATGCTGACTGCAGATATGGAAGAAACCAAGTTGGTGAAGGCTCCAGATGCAGTGGAGACTCCAGGTACAATGAGTATTTGCTTACCCTGTTGTGGTTGGTCCTTTGGTTGCACAATGCTGTCTTGTATACTGTCACCACTACTTTCATGCTTTGCTGTCTCAACAGGCTCTTCCTCTGCACTTCTGAGAGGTTCAGCTGGACTGAAGGATTGGCCTTTCTCAAGGCATGGTTGGTTGGCTGATACCCTCTTCTTTTTATTCTCTTTTCTTTCTCCTCGGATATGATTTCGTGGGTTTCTAATCCAATGAGAAATATATCACAAATGACAACAATAACAATTTTGCAAAATATGCAAAATGAGGTTTTGGAACCCTGCTATTCTTCAGCACCCATTCTCAAACCTGGTGACCACTAAAAGTAATGGATTACAACTTCCATGATCCACTAACCATATTAATTGAAAATTAGGAAGTATAATACAACACATCTGGAGGGCCTCAAATTAGGAAAAGGTGACACTGGAAATCTATTCAAGTATTCCAAGAGTGATTTGAAGACAAAAAGTTTGAAAACTACTGGCTTGTATGAATGAACATGGGTACAAGCAACTCAGCTAAATGTGAATGTTATGAAAGGAATGGGTCTGTATCTAAGAGATAGAACTAAAAGAATTGTAAAAGTGAAGGATCTGGTAAAAGCAACACAATATAGGGCTTTTTATTTTCTAACACTGCATTTTAGGAGAAGCAAAAACTATCATAGCAAAAAAGAAAAATATCTTAACAGAAATGCCATAAGAATGGTGATATAAAGTGGTTCATTCTCTCATACCCCCAGTCAACAGGATGGAATTTTGAACCCACACATAGATTTAGGGCTAATTTCAGCTATTTTATGGCTCAGGCTTTTATATTTTCAGTTGTTTTCAGCAGTTTTGTACTTTTCTATTTTGTATAGTTTTACACTGTTCACTTTTAGTGCTTATGTTTCTAGCATGTCTCCCCCTACTGCAGTTTTAGATTAGTCTTATTTTTGTATGTATACTGGTCTGGGACCACAACAATAAAAGATTTGATTTGATTTGACCTGGCATCAAAAAATTAAAGCACTGATTGAGCTTTATATGATGTCATTCTGAGCACGACTTAAAGAACATTAATAATATCCATATCTATTGGATGTTAATCTCTTTCCTTTGTAAGCCTTTGGACCATCTTTGCATGTCTTTGAGATGTCAACATTATTTACATCCTTTCCTTGGCCTCAGACAAATTCAGCTCCTCCCAGTTAAGCTTTTTTTCTTTCTTCTTTGTTTTTGTAATGAAATTGCTTAAGAGGGAGCTAAGCTGGCACAGTGCCGCTGAATTCAGTCGGGTTTTAGCAAACTATCCCATCTTGGTGGTTAGTTTCGTTCCATGACACAGTTGTGAGCTTCGGAGGAAATCTGTGGCTTCTCTTTGATACTTTATGATCTGGACTTCTGGCAGGAGATTAAATAGGAGTTATTTCCTTTTCTATCACATGGTTTCTCCTAATTTATATAGGCTAGGACCAGATGGTTCTCTTGTATAACATTCAGATATCACAGTCTGAGTGCCTGATTATTAAAAAGAAGACAAACTATAGACATTTTGATTGTGTAATTGCCCTGCCTCATTCAAGGAAATTTATGGAAGATCCAGACTTCATATTCTGCTTGTAGTCCTCCCCTGCTTTTTCAACTTTTCTTTCACCTATTTTCTTTTTACAAAAAAATCTATTAAGCAAGAAAAAAATGGAATAACTCCACAATTACTTTTGATTGTAACACTAGGAGTTATAGATGAGTTTGGGGTTATTATGTCTTCTGTTTTACTATACACTATCATGAGTTCTTGTGAAGTTTGGCAGTATAATAAACACAAATAAATAAAAACATGCATTTTGAGATAAGAACTGTCATTTAAATAGAAATATGATGTATGTCACTGTAAGGAGAAAAGGTGATCTGTATGCCTGCTGCTGACAAGAAACAGCATTGCCCTGCCTTCTTATGATTCTTTTACTCATAGTTAACGTTACAATTGAGAATAATTTCAAACAGAGCAGAGTTCAAAAACTTGTGCGCCTCCAGATATTCCTCCAATAGAGCTCTCATATGCCCAGTCAACACTGTTAGTGGCAAGGAATGCTAGACATTTTAGTTCAGCAACGTCTGAAGAACCACAGTGATCCCCATTTCTTAAATAGAGGATTGCTTTCAATATAGGAAGACACATGGTCACTTCTTAAGGTGAACCCTCCAGTTCTGTACAGCTTATAATACAGTATGTAGAAGTACTGAAATATGTATGTAGGTACTGTATGTTTAATAGATTGAATTATCCCTTGTGGCACAAAGAAGTTTTTTAATTGAGCTTTGATCATGATGAATGTAACACATGGAATAGGTTTCATTTCATAAATAATTGTGTCTGTACTCAACTTAAAATATTATTCTGGGAGAAACTTGCTGTGAGCCAGTTGATAAATGCATTGGACTGCAGAGACTTGAGGTTAAATCCCAGTTCAATTACAGAGTCACTTGATAACTCTTCTCAAGTCATCATTTTTCAGTCTCAATTACCAATCCATCAAATGGGAATAATTATGGTATCTCTTAGAGGCATTTTGTGAAGATGAATTATACAGAGACATAGAGTGTTGGGCTCTATAATGGATAATAACTGTCATGGAGTAAAATATGTAAAAAATTAAACTCTTCAGTCTATAGTAACACTGTAGTATTGAGTAATGAAATAAATGACATTTGGAATTTGAATTTACTTCCTATTTAATTTTTGTATAGGTGTGAAAAATAAATAAAAACATGATTATTAGTATGGTCTGACATGGTCCTAAAGTATGGAAAGACATTTGGACAAGTGAAAATGAAACGCAAATTGCGACACCACAGAATGATGCAAATCTATGAAATCATCCCTGTATCTCCAAATTTCTTAAAAATACATGACTCAATTGTTTTCCTTGATGGAAAAAAAAATGAAAACATGATTAATGATCTGCAATCACGATGCTGCAAGATTTGTTAAGTTTATGTGACAGCACATGCGTTTGAAATCATTATATTCTGAGAGAACTTGATGCCCATTTTATGGACAGATTTAAAGAACACAGACTGGATTTGGATATGCCTGTTGAGTGTATCTCCCTCTCATCCTCATATAAGGAAGGAATGGGAACTGAACAGAAGTTTAATTTACCAAAGAAACTTCTATGAAGAAAAGAACGTTTCATTGATTTCTCTCTGCCTCTGTGAAGGAAACATTCTCCTCCCTACCTCCCAGCCGGCC